TTTTTTCAACGTTTTTATTTTTATTTTTGGGACAGAGAGAGACAGAGCATGAACGGGGGAGGGGCAGAGAGAGAGGGAGACACAGAATCGGAAACAGGCTCCAGGCTCTGAGCCATCAGCCCAGAGCCTGACGGGGAGCTCGAACTCACGGACCGCGAGATCGTGACCTGGCTGAAGTCGGACGCTTAACCGACTGCGCCACCCAGGCGCCCCATGGATGACTAAAATCTAAAAGACGGAAATTACCAAGAGATGGCAGCTACCATGTATGTTTCTCAGGTACATAACTTAGAAACTGTCAATATTTACTTAAACCCTAGGCATGTGCTATGACCAAGCAATTCTCCTCCTGGATATACACACTCAACAGACATGCATACATTCATCCAACAAATGACAGGTACTAGAATGTTCACAGCAGCACTATTCACCGTATCCCCAAACTGCAAACAACCCAATTGTCAATCATGTAAAATGGGTTTCTACATCGTGGATACACACATGATGGAATACATACAGCAAGGAGAACGGACAAACCACAACTACACTCAGAACTACAGACAAATCACACAACTGTAAGGTTGAAGGCAAGAAGCTGGATATAAAAGGGCACATACTATATGATTCTATTGATGTAAAGTATGAGAATAGCTAAAACGAATCTACTGTGTTAGAAATCAAGACAGTGGGGGCACGTGGGTGGCTCAGTCAGCTGGGTGTCCAACTTCGGCTCAGGTCATGATCTCACTGCTCATGAGTTCGAGCCCCGCGTCGGGCTCTGTGCTGACAGCTCGGAGCCTACAGCCTGCTACAGATTCTGTCTCCATCTCTCTGCTCTTCCCCTGCTCGCTCGCTCACTCGCTCTCTCTCTCTCTGTCCCTCAAATATAAAAAATAAAAAACATAAAAAAATAAAAAGAAATCAGGATAGTGGTTATCCTTGGGGGTGGGACACATGAGGGCAGATTCCAGAGTGTTGGAAAGGTTGTTTCTTGTTCTGAGTGTTGGTTATATGTGTGTTCAGCCCGTCCAAATTCATGGAGCTATACACTTAATATGTGTGTACCTTTAAACATTTATGTTATACCTCCATAAAGGGTGCCTGGGTGGCTCAGTCAGTTGGGCTTCTGACTCTTGATTTTGGCTCAGGTCATGGTCTCACAGTTGGTGAGATCGAGCCCCGTGTTGGGCTCTGCTCAGACATCGCAGAGCCTGCTTGGGATTCTCTTTCACCCTCTCTGTTTGCCCCTCCCCTGCACATGCACGAATGTGCTTTCTCTCTCAAAATAAGTAAATAAACTTTATTTAAAAAAATTAAAAAGTATCTAAAAACATAACTTCAAAAATACATGTAAATAGATAAGCACTATTTACAGGTGGTCTGTAAGTATACATATTACAAAAACTAATAGAAATAGAACAAAAGAAACCCACTGGGAATCATAGTGGAAAACTTTAACACAACTCTCAGAATCAACAGATCAAACAGAGAAAAAGTAAGCTAAGGAGACAGAGAACATAATTTGTAATTAATAAATTGGAAATAAATCTACAATTTCATGCAGAAAAATGTCACAAAAACTGACAGCTCATTAGATTACAAACTAATTTCTGTTTTCTCATCTCCATCCTTCTTTCAGCAATACGGCAGACTAGAGATCCCAAGGCCTTCCAGGCACAAAACATCTTTAAAAACTGCTAAGGGAAAAAACAAACAAACAAACAAACTACAACAACTTTAAAATCAATGGACTAGAGAAACCCAGTGAAGCCAAAATTCAAGAGTGCTGGCAAAATAAAGGCATTTTCAGATATTATAAAAACAGAATGCATCATCATTGAAGGAACTTCTAAAGAATGTACTTCAGGGAGAAGGAAAATGATTCAAAGTGATATAAGAAGGAATGGAGAGTGAATGGGGCACCTGGGTGGCTCAGTCCGTTAAGCGTCTGATTTCAGCTCAGGTCATGATCCCACACTCCGTGAGTTCGAGCCCCGCGTCAGGCACTGTGCCTGGAGCCTGCTGCAGATCCTGTGTCTCCCTCTCTCTCTGCCCCTCCCCTGCTCATGCTCTGTCTCTCTCTGTCTCAAAAATAAATAAAAAAAAAAAAAAGACGGAATGGAGAGTGAAGAAGACAGATAAACAGGTACAGAAGTCTAATAAATATTGACCCAGAAAATCGGTATAATAGTAACATCAGCAATAATGTCCAATTTATTTATTTTCTTTTTTTTTTTTTGCATTTATTTATTTTTGAGAGACAGAGAGAGACAGAGCACGAGCGGGGGAAGGGCAGAGAGAGAGAGGGAGACACAGAATCAGAGGCAGGCTCCAGGCTCCGAGCTGTCAGCACAGAGCCCAACGCGGGGCTCGAACCCACGAACCGTGACATCATGACCTGAGCCGAAGTCGGACACTTAACGGACTGAGCCACCCAGGCGCCCCAATAATGTCCGATTTAAAGGACTGAAGTAGTTACAGAGCTTAACACCAAATGGGAGGTAACTGGAGTGAAAATATTAGAAGTCCTTGCCTTGTTCAGAAGGAGGACTGATAGATTACATAAACGATCTAAGCCTTCAAATTCAAAAGGCTAGAACTTGCAAAAATAAATTCAAATGAAGTAGGAAGATTAAGAATGTACATTACTGACGTAGAAAAAGAAAAGTAACGGGATTAATCAATAAATCCAGAACTGGCGCTTTGGAAAGATAATGAAATAAGCAAGGAGGAAGCAAGCCTGACCGATACAAAAAAAGAGAAAAGGCACACACACAAGAGTGTGAACAAGATGAACACACCATAAATGTGGAAGAACTATTTTCCTGCAACAGAAGACTATCTACAACATTATGCGAACACACATTAAATTCCAATAATGTTAATGATTTTCTGGGCAGATATAAAGCACTAGATTGACTTTGGAGAAACAGAAAACCTGAGGAAAATCAATGGTCGTGGAAAAAATAGAAAAGATAGTTAAGTACTGATATCAACTTCTTTTTTTTTTT